TCGCCACCCTTTTAACATAAAAACAAATATGTTAGCACTTCACAATGGCTCTTCCTGCTATTTGTAAAATTACAACAGAATATTCTTATCGTGCTCTATTATATGGATCGAAACGGAAAGACTGTTGACAAGTTCACAAATACCAAATAAGAATACCTTTGTGAAATGCAGGCACGACGTTTAGGTTACTAATCCTTAAAAAAATACAGAAGCTTCAGGTGATATGCTGTCATCTTCAAATACTTCAAGGAAGTCTACAGCGCGTTGAGACTTTGTACTGAGGCAAGAATATCGCAAAAGACTGACTTTTTTCAACCTACATATAAATAGTAGTAGAAGCTTCGCCTAAAGTTTAAGATTGCGATATGGGGTTTTTTAAATGGTGTATTAACCGTCTGTTTTCAGGTTACATGTCCATCAGCGACAATAACCATCCCTCACTGAACGGCTCTTCGAATATTATGTGACACATAAGTGTGTTATTATAAAACTGTCTAGTATCGACACTCTAACTATGCCCGAAAGCGCATCTTTTTATTTTTCGCATTCCTTAATATTTTTTGTCTATGAGTTTTTGATTAATCAGATTGTTTTTCTTTGACATTAAAAAAGATTGTTTTACCTTGTCCTTGCCACCAATGTTTTCTTTTCCCTTTAATAATAATTAAAAATACAGTCCTTGTACTCCACACTAACGATAGAACATCTCATGTTGATTGGCTCTAAGATAATGTTCAGGTGGTACCAGCACATTGTCGCCAGTAAGTTTTCAAAATAACCCTGATCGTCGGTATAGACTTACTATTTGCGCTGGAAAGTTAACAACTGGCGAAATCGATGTTTGCTACTTCACCCATGGGGTTTATTTGAGCTAATTACATGGTGATTAATGCAAACGGTCTGCTTGTGGGTAGTCCCACGGATCGAATCTCGTTATTTCTTAAGTCCACGTAATTAAAGATATAGCTGAAATAAATAAATGCATTAGCGGAGTGAGTTACGATGCCTCGCGGAGTCCTGCTAATAAAATAAATGAAGAGTCCGCAATGAGTATCGAGTGTTCGGCAACAGGTGCATAAAAGGCGTAACTGGAGAATCTGAATTCTTGAGATGAAACTATTGGAAGTAACGTTTTAACAAATGAACATGCAAAGGATTTCCTGAAACGAAAAGTAATATATATATTTTGTGTCCTTTTTGCAATACCAGATATATTGACTTAGGTTTTTATTTATATTTTATGTAAAAGTGTGACAGGCTATCAAGCATATGGTCGACCTGATAGGAGCCACACTATAGCCACTAAATGCTTGCGACATTGGAGTATCTTTTGCGCATTGCCTAATTTAATGCTATTCTCTACGCCGCCGTTGGAAAGCCTTACTATTCACCGACAGGAATAAAAAACCAGTATTTTGTAGAGTTATTGCATTGTGGTTGTTGGTTACGTTTTAATGCACTTTCGTATATTTTAATTCTACGAGAATTCAGAAGCTCTCTTTTTTAATTTTATACTTTTACACGAGAAATTATTTAAAAAAAGAAATCATCAATACAATGTATTATAATACCATACATACACAAAAAAGGCGTCAAATGGTAATTGTTTTTAGTGTTTGTTTTTTCGTATCTTTTACTTAGGCTGTTTGATCCTAGAGTGGACGATTCTGTGCCGGCCCGCCGTTGAGGCAATTGATTAGGCGGCCCCTTTGAGCAGCCGCGCCGACGCTCACAACAATTTGCTCGCGGCCCCACCGCCCTAATTTTAATGGCCTTATAAAATTTATATTTAATGTATTTATCATAAGGTAGACTTTTATGGATAAGACACTTTTAAATGTGATAAGTTTGCGGAAGCTTCTATGCGCTTGCCTTCGTTATGACAAAGCATTTATTACAGGGCTTTTACAAATTATGTTGAATAGCGTCAATAAACGACAAATACTTTTGTAAACAATTTGTACATTTATGAAGCAATAAAGATTATGATTATTAATTATTTTTACAATACTAATGATATGTTGTCAGCATACAACCTACATTAGATTCTGCAACTACCCACACGCAAGAATTTTTGATTTAACTGTAAAACCGATACAAAATGCCATCCTTGCTGGTGCTTTACGAGATGATTATGATAACGAATTTAATTTGACAAACGTTTATTCTAGGTCCTTCAGGAGTACAAGTGAAAAATTTTATAATAAACTCGTCATTAAATATAAATTATCCCAAGTATAAAAGTTCATCATCACTATTGGGAACGACTTCACCGATATCATGGTCCTTTTCATTGGATACTCAATTGTTAGGGCATACCTATTTAGTTTTATTAAAAATATTTATCTGAAAAACAAATAACTCATCTGTTTCTTAGGTTTTCATGCACACCACTCATCATCGTCAGAATCAAATTAACACGGAGCAGCCTCAAAAGGATGCGAAACGTCAAGAGACAAATAAATTAGTGCATCTATACCGTTGAAATATGTTTTACTTAAATAACTCAACAACTAAGGAAAATTTCACTTGAAATGAAAAAAAATATATATTAGTATAAATAACACTGAAGCAGCAGTCTAATGTTTAAAACATAAAATTAAATATTATAAAAACTTTTTATTTTCTCTATCAGCAAATTCAACTTGTACAAAATAATAATAATTAAAAAATCGTAATTAAAAAACGATTCGTATCCATACTATTTCAATGCTGCGTCCTAAAGATGAGTATTGTTTTATTGTGGACGAGCACGCGGTGCGCGCATTAACCAACTACGGTCGAAGTGCCGCCAAACTTACGATGGACGTTACCACTTCAGATAAAATAATAAAACAGCAATCTTTGTTTTATTTTTAATACTATTTATTGTAAATGAAATTATTTTTCATCGGTATAAAAGGAAGTTATACATCCCAGAAAACTTCTTGAGGAACGACCAAAAACGAGGAAGCCTGCGTTTTAGCAATTTTACATACACAATCGTCTACAGCGCGACCTATTATACCTACAGAATTCTTTAATTTGCCTCTTTGTCCTGTTATCGACAGAAATAATCCAACCATACAAAGATTTAGTAGCTGCGACAAACGGATATTTTCTAATTAAAATTTTCTTTAAATTCGCGCTAATTGCTATCAAGGAAACCGACTCTGCACACCCAACGAAACTTCAGATATTCAGGACGGATTTTACAATTATGCCAGTAGGTAAATGTAGTTGTGAATTTTCTTTCTTTTTCCATATTTATGCACAAGTACTTACTAAACAAAAAAAAAACAAAGCCGCTTGGTCGTAATTGTAACCTTCAGAATATTTTCAAAGTTATATTAAACTTATCTCCTTAAATGAATATTGAAATGAACCTTGCAGTTAGTGACTTTTTTAAACTTGCTTATCTATTATGAAAATTGTTTACTAGATATTTCGGGGGTTTTGTACATTTATTGTTATCTATTTTATATTATGTGATGGAAGTTGACCTCAATACACGTTTATATGTTTGATGTCAGCTTTTAATTTGACGACACAGTATGAGATAATACAAGGAGAAAAAAGCTGCCCTTGCTGTCTCTTGCCGGTTCTTCTCAGTACAAAGTCTCCTGCTGTAGATTTGCGAAATGATGGCGCAATTTTCGACTTTCAGATCTGCTTGTAAAAATCTAAACTGAGTAAATGAATATTGAATTAAAATTTTTACTCGTTTCTTTAGATATATTCGTAAAATTACATTCGTGTTTTGCTACTCCTTTGCTATGCAGTTGCTACATAACTGTTAACTCAATACTCAATATTTATTACAACCATAATGTTTATAAATATGTTATTATAAAATAGTAAAAGTACTTTTATGGACTCTGTTGGGTATAGTAACTTAAGGAGGAGAGAAGAAGAAGATACTTTTCTCAAAAAAAAATGTACATGCAGGTTACTTGTATGATATGTATATTTATTTTACTATACTATATTATAATAACATTTGTTAATAATACATCTTTTAATAATTTTATAAATCCTAATGTCTGTTAGTATATAATAGGTACTTTTTTGAAAAAAATCTCAATTATTATTTTATAGGTATCTACATCATCACAGCTTTTGTAAAACTCATTATGTTTTCTAACAAACTTACATATCTAAGATATATGTTACGATATACTATAGAGTAATTAATGAATAGGAGCAACATATAAGAAGTGTTCTGGGTGTTCACATATCCTTTCATTCAGCATCGTCCTGTCCAGACCTACCCCACTGTTGGGACTGTCAATCGATGGCCATACAAAAACACACGCAGTAAGTCAGGCATGCGCATTGCATATTTCTATTTGGTAACATCGCGCAAGAAATTGATTTGAATTTGTTACACTTTTTCGTGGGTGATACAGGATATAGTATACGACATAGTTTCCATTTCACCTCTATGAACTGCTGAATGGATCACTAATAACTCCTAAATCGAATCGATTTTAGATCGCGATAGAATCAGAAATAAGGAAGTCCGTAGGAGAACTAAAGTAACCAATATCGTTCGACGAATGACAGGTCCCACACCAGGTGGACAGACGATCTTGAAGAAATCCCAGGAAGCTGCTCGAATTCCTATGCACAGCAGTGGGCATCGTACAGCTGATATTCTGATGATGATGTGGGGAAATATAGGAAGGTTGGTTCCTTGAAAATACTGTTTAAACTGCATACAATATTACCACAAATATACATTCAGATATTTTAAAGCCAATGTAGAGCGTGAGACGACTTAAAGGTCAGATGAAACTTAAAATAAAATATACTATCACATTCCGAAAATCGATTAAGAAAATAGGATGAAACCATTTCGTTATTTAAAATAAAAATATTTTTTTTGCTATATACCTTTACACTTTAAAAAAAACTTTTTTTAATCTAAAGAAACGTTGATAATATCTAAAGTTCTCCCGTGGAGCTTTCTAAGCACTTTTGTCGTCGATATTACTGCGGCCGTGTCGAGCTTTGCGGCAGTCAGTGTCTGAAAACACCACCGTGAGCCACTGAAACAGGGATCCCAACTTTACTAGTACACTGTAAACAAAGTTTCATTTAACTATTTCTGTGATAAATCTGTGGTATATTTGAAGAGTAGCGAAAATGTAAGTATGGAACTTATTATTTTAATGGAAAAAGGAAACGGTATTGTTGTTTCGTCCGTGTTTTTTAAGTTTTTGCAAAACTAATATTGCTATTAATTTCTCTTTAGAGATCTTATTAGGTAAGACTTTAAAACAATTTTATGAGAGAAAGCAATTTAAGAAATGAATTTTAAAATAATATCAGAAACCATTACGGACGAAATTTCGAAAGCTGAATTCTCAGGGTGCCGGTTTGCGATTCAAAATTGTAATCAGAATTTCAAATGACCTGCTTAATATATTGTTTCTGTAATAACCGTTATTTCATCCCTTGCTATGAGATTTTTATTTACGTAAGCATAATCTTTCATACAGTATTAAATATTTTTTTCACTACGCAATCTCGTAAGTTACTTACTGTTTTTTGTTATTCAAAGACAGTTTTTGAAATATGAACCTTTCTAATTGAACACTTGCCCGATAATTTGCTTAAAATGTAAAAACAGACAAGTTTTCTTTATAGAGAATGCGTGATTGCATTCAGGATCTTAATAACAAGGAAAATGTATTAATGTAGGTCAAAGATCTTTGAAATTTGACCTTTGTTTTCAAGGCAGTAGATAAAATTTGAATTGTATTTCGAATATCGAATAATTTCGAATTAACTTTGAAAATCGAAAATATAACATAAACTTTTTCGATTTCTTGACATTAACAACTTTGATAGATTAGTAAGGAAATCCTTTATCTATGAATAAAACTAGTTTTTACGGGTTAATGCACGAAACTTTATTCTGACTCAATTTCTGGAAATCAATAACTCAAAAGTGCTTCAAATGAAGATATGCTCATTCCAAAATAAAAAAAAAAATGTTCTTCTGTTCGCAAACCATATAGTACTTTCGAGTAAAGTAGTTCCCATCAGCGTTTATAATCGTAATTCGTAATAAATGGATGATCCCAACATCTTCTTTTTCTTTTATATATATTTGACAATAACAGCCGTGCAACAATCTTTTTGCGATCCATGACACTATTACTAAAACACGTCCAATACGGCTGACTACCGTTAAAGGTATGGTCACCCCTAATCATAGCTTTGCCGCACGGATTCATATCGAAGCAATTCACATCGCAAGTTCCTTGGATGCGACGTCGCATCGCATCGTAGTTTTGTGTGGGAGCCCTTAATCAGAAACAGGCGGCCATATCTGGCACGTCAAATATGATTGTTGTGTAAATCACAAGATTGTTACCTGGGGGTCAATTGCCTATCGGGATTGCTATCGCTATCACTTACGATTACATTTTGTTATTTCTGACCCGCGACTGTTTTCAAATACCTTACGCTCATTTTCTTTAATATTGTCATTACCTATGAAAAAGAAAAAAAAAGTGCCAGGTATATCAAAACATTCAGCGGTCAGAAAAAAAGTGATTCTGCGTCTCGTACCTTTAAAACTTCGCTATGCTCAGGATTCAATTAAATTTGAACTGCTACCTAATTACGCTAAAATTCTTCGTTACACAGATTTCTATACAAAGTTAAAGGCTACAAAGCATAAAAATCTAAAAAAAGATGAATAAAATCGGAAAACTCGTAACTATATATATCACTATATATAAATATATATATCTACTAGCTGACCCAGCGAACTACGTACCGCCATAAAAATAGGGGCAGGTGGTAGAAGAGAAAATTTAGGGTTGTATGTATTTTTAATACCACATTATGAAAAAACAAATATTGTCCAAAAAAATTTTAGGGGTGTGTAACGTAGTGTTCTATCAATTTCCTGGGATAACATTCCTCCTAACTCATATGAGAACACTACGTTACAATACCCAATAGTTTGAATTTAGGCGCGAAGGCGCATTGTAGGTTTCAGAAAACTACGTAACAGGTGGACAACCATTATCACATAAGGATATGAAAAATAGATAATAGCCGATTCTCAGACCCACGTAATATGCATATAAAATTTCATAAAAATGGTCAGGTCGTTTCGGAGGAGTATGGTAACTAACATTGTGACGCGAGAATTTTATATATAAGATTATATATATATATATGTATATATATACTATCCGTAAATGGAATGCTCTGCCCGCTCACGTGTTCTCCCTCCCTCTTACAACCTGGGATCCTTTAAAAGAGGTGTGAAGAAGCAACATGCAGGCCGGCAGGGTGAGGATGGCTGGTGTGGCAGGTAGAACTGCTGTATCAGCTATCTTCACCTTCACTTAACATCAGGTGGGGTGTTGTCATATGTCGGACCTATATATAAAAAAAACTGCTAGGTACGCTAAAGTTCTTCGTTTCTCAGGTTTCTACACAAGTATTTGAGTGAAAAGGCAACCTTGAACCTTGCTAAGCAAATAACTATTTTTATTTAGCAAATATTGCAAAGCGTGGAAAATATTATTTTATTAGAATACAATCAAATATGAACGCAATAAAAATAGAAACGACCCATTTTACTAATATTGTGAAAGTTTGCTAGTCAATTTGGTACGCATATAGTTATGACCTGGATTGAGACATAGGATATTTTTTATCCAGGAAAAATATTAGGCTCATGAGGGAATCTCAAAAAACTAAAGTTAACACGGACGAAGACACGGGCTGCTGCTTGTAAAGATATAACTCTAAAATCATTACAGGTCGATTGCCTGTACAGAAGGCTTAATAGTCTTTTATATATGACCGCACATGCCAGACATTTGACCTAGTAAAAAGTAAAATAGAAGTAGCATGACCGCAAAAGTGGACTAATGGAATTAAATGCATTGCTTCAAAGCTCGGTGACATGTTACTGAGCTTGTCGAAATAAAAAACATCCTATCCATACTACTTCCTACTAATATTATATTGTAATGTGAAAATTAGTAAATTTGTTGGTTTGTGACCCATTTACGCAAAAACAGCTAAACGGATTTGGGTGAAATTTGGTAAACATATACTTTATTGTCTGTATTGAGACATAGGATACTTTTGTTTCTGGAATAGTGTTAAGGTCCTGAGGGATTTTTAACAAAGTAAAGTAACGCGGACGAAATCGCAGGCGGTAATTTTAATAAATTATAGTTATGAATCACATTCGCAAAGATTTACTATGTAATTTATTTGTCCTGTAAATACGACAGATATGGTTTTTCATACAACTTTTGCGCTGCTCGCGTGTGTCTGATTAGTACAGAATTTTCGATTTATCTCGAAGAAGGTGTTCAAAATAATGGTCACATTTTCAAGCACGTTTGAGAAAAATTATAAAATAAATAACGTATTTCCCTTTGTGTGAATAATCCATAGGAAACACATATTTTTATGGTTGAGTTATGTAAGGTTTAAGAAAAATGCGGCATTGCGTACCTCCATAGCGACGTCATTTGGCATGTCGCCAAAAATTGAGTGCTCACATCAGCCAATCAGCATCGTTGAAATGTAAGCCACTTGGCAAAGCACCTATACTTGCCTGTATATCTTATATATAAAATTCTCGTGTCATAATGTTAGTTACCATACTCCTCCGAAAGAGCTTGACCGATTTTTATGAAATTTTATATGCATATTCCGTGGGTCTGAGAATCGGCTACTATCTATTTTTCATATCCCTAAGTGATAATGGTTCACCACCTGCAACGTAGTGTTTTGAAATCTACAATGCGCCTTCGCGCCAAAATTAAAACTACTGGGTATTGTGATGTAGTGTTCTCATATGGGTTAGGAGGAATGTTATCCTAGGAAATTGATAGAACACTACGTTACACACCCATAATTTTTTTTTGACAATATTAATTTTTTTATAATGTGGTATTAAAAATACGTACAACCCTAAATTTTCTCTTCTACCGCCTGCCCCCTATTTTTATGGCGGTACTAAGTTCGCTGGGTCAGCTAGTTTAACATAAATCTTTTCTTTAGCGGAGAGTAACCAAAACATAAGGCGCAAATAGTGACTATATTAAGGATTCCGTACTTAATGAGTGAAAAACGGAACCCTCTTAAATTATTAGTAAATATGTACCCGTCATGGTTTTGATATATTTATATAATATATAAGTATACTATTGTCATGGGTGTACCATGTTACTTGACATACAACAACTTTAAAGGCCAACTAATTCTTTCGTATCCTACGGTTCAAAACAGGCCTTGCAAGTTATAATTGCCAAATCAATAAAATGCAAGCGATAGGTTCTCATGTAGCGTATACGATTTCTGGTTTCCCCATAATGACATTGAAAAGGTTAGGGTTAGAATAATTATTGTACACGAGGATAGCAATCGATTATTTAAATAGACTGTAAAATATAATTCCATTGTTAGGTTTGAATTTATTTCTTTATCAAGTCCAATCTCACATATTTTGACGATCTCCGTGGCCGAGTGGCTGGTGCATCATGGTGTCGCCGGCTCGAGAGGTATCGGATTCCAATCCCGGTGGGGACAGATGTGTGTGTGTGATGAATACGAGCATTTGCATTCCAGTCATGGATGTTTAATATGTATTTCTGTACAAATATAACTATATATGTATCAGTATATCTATTCTATCCATTACCCTAGTATCCCATAACACAAGCCTTACAGTGCTTACATTGGGGCTAGGCTAATAAAACCTATGGTAGCATTCTCGTTAATTAAGTCAATTACTATATCTAAATAAGTCTTTGTCGGACACCCGGTGTCAAGGAATTGTTTTACATGGTATGCACAGACCAGGGTGTCGATGCATACGAAATTATTATTATTTTATTTTCGATGCTAAAAATCGTGTTTCAATAGAAGTTCAATATAACAGTATCGCTCATTAACATAGTCATTGTTACTAAAAGATATAACAACAAATGTACTTATATAGATAAAAATTACAAATGTGTAACACGCTTATTTGTGTTTTCAAATTTGAGTAACAGTAACTGTTTATTATATGTATTTAAGTATTTAACTGGTAGATGTTTTCTTTAGAAAATTTTCCTTAGATTCCAGCAATAACTGTGTGATAAATCAATACTACTGAAACACCCTTGATACACAATTATTACTTTAACTTAGCAGAATCGAGACCCAGGTAAAATAATTCCTAGATCTACCCTTCATGATAAGCAGGATCCTGTTGAGACTCTCCTTGTAGCCGGTTCTACTTACCCTACCCCTGCATTTTAGCTATTTTCATATCCTTATTTTTGTATCAGGCAAGCAGAAGTCAGCGGAGGACCCCCGGTACCCGAGGAACCTCAAACCGGTCCCGATGGAGAGATCATCGGCGGACCGCGCACTCATCAGCAGATCGCTGCCCAAAAGAGAATGCAGCAGACCAAAGCTCAAGTGGACGAGGTAAACTCTCTCTCTCTGATAAATATTATCTGATCGGTTTTTAATGTCTTGAAAAAGCCTGATGTATTCTCGCCATCGGAAGTTGCAACGAACATATGTGAGGATTCTTCCCCACGCATTTCGTGTAGTTTTTGCTTCTCCTGAAAAGAAATGGGGGTAAGGGACAACCCTTACCCCAATTGAATTTACGGTCGACAATATATATTGTTATATTCTGACAGGCTATAACTGGACCCAATGCCTACCGTTCGTACTTTTTGGCTAGAATATTTATCATTATGGTAAATTAAAAAGATTGTTATATTCGAGCTATAAATAGCAATTTGAGTCAGATAGACTTCTATAAAATGTTACGCATACAATTACTTATAATTGTTTTCTTTAAAAGGATGGTAAAGAAGGATTATGGCCGCTTGATGGTAAGCGGTTACCATAACCAATAGATACTTGCGACACAAAAGAATCACTCGCATGTGGGTGGTTTGATCCCATTTCCTTATTTAGCAACAAAAAAAAACACTATACCACCAAAAAGATTTTATTTTTAATTTAAGAAGGATGGTAAACAAACATTATGTCTCATCTGATGGTAAGCGATCAACATAGCCTTTAAATACTTGCGATACAAAAAAAACCACGGAATGCACTCCGGCAGTGCCGGCAGAAGTAAAAACTTGAATATTAAGGTGGTGCATTTTTGATATTTTTGAATAATTTTGCACGAATTGCTTTAACTATACAGTATAAAAGTACTATCATTTATGTGGTAGAATACAATATTTATTCATTGCGCTATCGTACACAAACATGACAATTTATATTACATTAAAAAGTTTATCTCTCAGAAAAATCAACTTACATGAATCACATTTAAGCACACCTAGCAAAATCTATTGTAAAAAAATCATTTTCTTCTCAATAAAGCTGCCACCTGGACGTCCTAGATAGAGACTTATTGTTATAATACGATAAAATAAAATATTACTATCTTTCGTCCAATATATTGAAAGTCAACAATCTTTCCAATTTTATTGCTATCGTCTTACGAATTTTCGATTAGGTCACGTGTCCTGGGGGCCAATCGCCTAACTGGATTGCTTTGGAAAACGCTATCGCTTACGATTTCATTTTGTTATATCTAGCCCCCTGAGGTTTTCAAATGCCTCGCGCTCTTTTTTTTTCTTTTGCATTGGTAATAACAATGTTAAAGAAAATGAGCGTGAGGTATTTCGGCGGTTAGAAATAACAAAATGAAATCGTAAGCGATAGCGTTTTCCAAAGCAATCCAGTTAGGCGATTGGCCCCATGACGCGAGTTTAACATTTTTACCCTTACAAAAAAAGTGTACAACGTCGCTAAAGAAGTTTTCACTTCAAAAATATCACTCGCCTACCCTGCTCGTCGACAGAAACACAACACCACCAAAAAAAATTACTTACAGTCGTTTTAGAAGATTCTTTACAGTAAATTCTTAAAGTATCTAGTAGTATTTACGACGTATACTGTTATCTCTATTGTATGTGCAACTTTTAGTATTTTACCGAACTGTCCTGACCGGTTTCACTTCACACTATTGACACTCACTTCTCCGATAATAATGGCCAACATTGCAAAAGTTCTCGAGACTCAGCATGCTTTGGAGGCTAAACTATTGCAAAGGATGAACGAGCTTGAAGGTAAATGGAAGACAACTTCCCAGCCCAAGGATGAAGGTTCTCTGACTCAACTAAGGCAGGAGTTCTGTGTCTTCAAATCAGAGGTATGGTCTGTGCTGATGTTATTAAGAGACCAGATATGTCAGCTTCTCAGATCAGTCGATGACATGGAAATGAGGCATCGCAAAAAGTATCTCCTCTTTGGCGGCATACCAGAGACTGTTGATGAACTTCCTAAATTTATAGTAAGTCTTCTGAACAACAAGATGGGCCTGGATCTGACTTCAGATAAACTCAGTGTTTGCCATCGCCTCGGTAGTGCATCGGTGGAGGGGAAATGTCGCCCTGTGTTATTACGGTTTACACAGCTTTCTCTCAAAACTATTGTCTGGAATAGGAAGACAGCACTCAAGGGAACTCCGCATACTTTATCTGAGTTTCTAACACGACAACGCCAAGCACTCTTCATTCAGGCTCGCAGACGCTTTGGCATCAGAAGGTGTTGGACAATGGAGGGGAACATAATTGTTAAGCTGAATGATGGAACTAGACAGCGACTGTACACTGAAGGCGATCTCTCATCTATATCGGCGACGGAGGACGTCTCTCAACCGCAGCAGCAGTCACAGCCGGCAAGTGCATCGCAGCCGCAGCAGGCAGTAGCTGAGGTCGGGTCACCTACACCAATGCTTTCCCCAGAATCTCGGTCTAAGCCCAAACGAGCAGCCAGGGCGAAAAAGTAACTTTATCTCTTGTTCACGGCTCTCTTTATATTCTGCACTGGTATGTGAAAAGTTCATAATAATTTGTAGTTTTGCTTTTTTACGGGTATAATATTCTTTAACCTTTTATTTCGGGTATTTCACTAATTAATATTATTGATAATTATCTTAGATTACCTTCTTCAATTCACTTTTTGAATATTTCTTTTTAATGACATGAAAACGTCACTGTCACTATGACTGATTACTACCAACTTTTTTTTTTTTTTAATCGCCCTGGCATGTTCATGTTTTTTTTCGCTCTATTGCCCTTACCAATGTATAACTTTTTTTAATATTTTGTATTTTTTTTTGTAATTGTCAACCAACCGGCAGGACAGGTATTATTTTGCATATTTACTTTTTTATCATATATAGATCTTTATATAGTTATATATTAATTAGGTAATATTTTATTTATTTTTATGTCTGATGATGATGATTCTTTTTATTCTGCTCGTGACGTTAGCTCTTCTTCTTCGGAACCAGAAACGTTAGGCTCAGTATTACACAGTTCTTTCAAAATTGCACCTCATTCTTTTAACGTTTGTCATATAAATGCGCAAAGCATACCTTCACATTACTCAGATCTTCTTGATACCTTTTCTTCTGCAACCACTCACGCTATTCTTGTCTCGGAAAGCTGGTTAAAACCTTGTCTTGCCTCTTCTTCTTTCTCACTTCCTGGTCACACTCTAATCCGCAATGACCGTACTGGCAAAGGCGGTGGTGGTGTTGCCATATACTTACGTTACGACATCCCTTATAAAATTCTTTATTCATCTCCCTCCCCCTACTCCAGTTCTGTGGAATATATCTTCCTTGAAGTTTCCATTAAGGGAGTTAAAGTTGTTTTAGGAGTCGTCTATTCTCCACCCTGTATTGATTATTTTTCCCATCTCGAGTCTATTCTTGAACCACTCTGCTCGGAATACGGACATCGCATAATTATGGGTGATTTCAACACTGATCTATTGTGTAGCACATCGCGCTCCCTTAAACTTCTCAATATTGTCAAGTCCGTTAATCTCTCTATTCTGCCATCAAGGCCAACTCATCATAACCTTTCTCAGGACACATGGCTTGACTTAATTTTAACTTCTCCTGATTTTGTTATTAATCACGGTCAGCTTACAGCACCTGGATTTTCAAAACATGACCTTATCTTTCTACAGTACAGATTAAAACCACCGAAAATCAAACCTACTGTTGTGTGGATGCGTAACTTCGCTCGCCTCGACCATGACAGATTAGGACGGGATGCTTCTGAGCTTGACTTCTCGGCGGTGTATGGTGCCTCGTCAATGGATGAGAAAGTATCCAACTTTAATCACAGTATTCTCAAACTTTACGATGCCCATGCTCCGCTGAAGTCCGTCAGGGTAAAGCGACCTCCCGCTCCTTGGATCAGCCGAGGCGTTCGTATGGCCATGGCGCGACGTGATCGTGTTTTTCGTGTTTTCAAACGTGACAGATCGGAGGGAAATTGGTCTTCATATAAGGTGGCTCGTAATAGGTGCAACAGGATGGTGAGGGCAGCTAAACGACAGTATTTTCACGACAATATCTGCAACTCGTCTTCGGCGAATGTATGGAAGTTTCTCCATTCTTTAGGTCTGGGCAAATGTTCCGAGCAACCTGACTCCTATCCTTTCTCTCTTAACGATTTCAATAATCACTTCTCCACCACCAGTACACTTGACCCGCATACTAAAAATAGAACAGTCAAAAACATTTCTTCCATAGCCCAATCTCTTTCTGATTCCTTTACTTTTTCTCCAGTGACAAGTGATGACATCCGTAAAATTATTCTATCTATCAAGTCAAAAGCTATTGGATCGGATGACGTCAGCAGAGAAATGATAGTCAATATTTTAGACTATATTCTTCCAGCTATTGAGCACATTATCAACTTCTCTCTTCTAAACAGTGATTTTCCTCTAGCTTGGCGTAAAGCTTTTGTCCTTCCTCTGCCAAAAGTTTCCTCTCCTCAGCTACTTAGTAACTTCAGGCCTATTTCCATCCTTCCCTTTCTTTCTAAAGTTCTTGAAGCAGTTGCTCATCATCAAATATCCTCTTTTATCTTTTCCAATAATCATCTCACTCCTTTTCAGTCTGGGTTTCGCCCTGGACATAGTACCACTACGGCTTTGCTCAAAGTTACTGAGGACGTCAGGATCGGCATGGAGAAACAGTTGGTTACAGTCATGGTACTCATAGACTTCTCTAACGCTTTTAATATGGTTGACCACGATATTCTCCTTGCTATCCTGAAATCCTACAACTTCTCACCAATGTCACTGGATTGGTTCTCATCCTACCTCTGGGGCCGTCAACAAGCAGTTCGTATTGGACAAAACCTTTCAAAGTGGAATACCTTGAATGCAGGTGTACCCCAGGGTGGTATTATCTCTCCTTTGTTGTTTTCTGCCTTCATTAACTTCCTTTCCTACTCGCTTAGCTGCTCTTACCATTTCTACGCTGATGATCTACAAATTTATACCCAGACTTTGGCTGAGGATGTTGATATGGCCATTTCCATGATAAATTATGAATTGCAACGTATCAGTGCTTGGTCTGCTGACTTTGGAATTCAAGTGAATCCAACTAAATGTCAGGCCATTATCGTAGGTGGCTCTAAACAAATAGCTAAAATTGACCATAGTTCTCTCCGGCCTGTCATGTATGAAGGCACAATACTGCCGCTTAGTTTAAGTGTTAAAAATCTTGGTCTTTACATTGATTCCTCTCTCAGCTGGACCACACAAATTGCCGAAGTGAGCCGCAAGATAGTTTACTCACTTCGTTTCTTGAATCGGTTCAGAAATTTTCTCCCCATCAAAACAAAAATTTTGCTTGTAACATCTCTTATATTTCCGCTCATTGATTATGCTGATGTCTGTTACCCCGATCTGAATGCTGATCTTCTAAATAAATTGGATCGTCTTATCAACAATGCCATCCGCTTCATCTTCTGTCTTCGTAAATTTGACCACATATCTGCTTACAGGTCTCAACTTAAATGGCTTCCTATACGTCAAAGAAGACAGCAGAGAATGTTATGTACTCTATATACAATTCTCTTTAACCCACACTCTCCAGACTATTTAAGATCCAAATTTCAGTATCTTTGTGACACACATAACCTTCAACTTCGTTCTAGTGATACTCTTGCTCTATCCCAACCTCTCGTTCACTCTGGCTATATGTCTGATTCCTTTGCCCTTCAATCTTCACGACTCTGGAACAGCCTCCCTGACTCCATTAGAAAGTCACCTAATAGGTTAATTTTTAAAAAGAAAATTCATGCATTTCTTCTGGATAGCCTTCCACACTAACGTTAAACTCCTTTCATAAGTCCCTTTCAGTCTCATCATCGATAGATTTTATATATATGTATGTGTGTATATATATATATATATATATATATATATATATATATATATATATATATATATTATTGTATGTGTGTGTGTGTATATATATATATATTTATATGTCTTGTGCTCATGTATATTTAGTTATTATGTATAAGATAAGTACTTTCTATTATGGTACGTTTATATTAGTTAATTACTTCTTTACTAAAGCCGCATTCGTGTCTTTCTGTACTCCTAAAGGTTGACTGGCAGAGAATGCTTTTAGCGTTAAGTCCGCCTTTTGTCCATTTTGTAACTGTGGCAATAAAGTTTAAATAAATAAATAAATAAATAAAAGGAAGTGTTGTTTCACTTTCGTCTTCTGTGGAAGTTACTTCCCCAGCAGGCGCTCGAATAAGAGCAGAAAATTCGCTATAACCTGCCTCTCTTAAAAAAGTTAGGTTAAGGTGCTGTAGTCAATAGTCCTCTGTTATTATTATTATGACGACCTCCATGGCCGAGTGGTTTGCACGCCGTCGGGGTTCATGGTGTCACCGACTCGAGAGGTCCCGGGTTGAAATCCCGGTGGGTGCAGATGTTTGTGAGACGAAAACGATCATTTGTACTCCAGTCATGTTTAATATGTATTTCTATATAAATATACTTATATAGTTATGTGCAGTATATGTATTCTATCCGTTATCCCATAACACAAGCCTTATAGTGCTTACTTTGGGGCTAGGCTAATTTGTGTGAGTGTTGGAAATATTTATTTATTTTTATTTATATAATTAGTATTAATTTTCGTTACATGTCAGCGTCGTTTAAATGTTTTCATCTTTACGTGTTGAATTTCTAGCATTTCGTTAACTTTATTTTGTGATGACAATTTCAGGTAGTAGATATTATGAAAACAAACTATGAAAAGGTATTGGAGAGGGACGTCAAGTTATCCGAACTCGATGATAGAGCAGGTAATAATTAAGTTTCAAGATTTTTATTTCTACTGTCGTCATCATCAATATTAGCCTATTAATATCCCCACTGCTGGGGCACAGGCCTTCTCTATGGATGGAATAGCTAGCACCATGCATGCCCAGTGCGGATTGGTGGGCGCTAGTGTATGCAGTTGCAGCCGGAACCAACGGCTTAACATGCACACTTGTTCCGAAGCATGGTACAGCTCCATATAGCAGATGTTTGCTCACCCATCCAATGACCGACCACTGCGAAAGTTGCTTTACCACTCGTTCGCTAACCACTTGCGCCATCAAGCTCCTCTATATATTGGGAGTTTTTTTTATCTATGTTAGCCGATGATTTCACATGACACATAGTCTTATGACCTTCAGATTAATAGGCTGATGATGAAGTGACGCGTCGCCTAATTCTATATTTTTCACAAATAAAGTGACAGCATAAATTCTAATCAAACTACTCAAAAATTAATTTAGGTCTCCATTTGTGATCTTAGTTGTTTCTTAATTAAAAAAAATAGCTTGTTGTTATTTTAATGAGTAAAGAACAGAACTCATTGAATTTCAGATGCACTCGAGTATGGCGCATCACAATTCGAGCAACAAGCAAAAAGTTTGAAGAACAAATTCTGGTTGCAAAATCTTAAGGTATGAATATAAGATAAATGAGTTTTTATGACCCACGTAGACACGTGTGTGACTCTATAAAATATTTTCATCAATTTTAATGCTTAGTAATTAATAACGTCCTTAATTTCAGATGATGATAATAATGGGAATCATAGGCCTTGTGATAATAGGACTGCTATATCGTAAGTATCATTCATTATTCGTTGGTAATTTTTGTTACTTTTACGGATAAACCATGTTATTTCGTAAGAATTTCCAACGATATTTTTCACTAGAATAAGGCTCCTTACTCACCGGATCTTTATGTTTTCGTTCCTATACTGCGTATGTACAAATTCTTCACCAAGAACCACTTCTTGACCGGCTCGATTACAGCGCGGTATGATTTTGTTTTGTTTGCTGCGGCCTTTCATTCATTCATCATGTATAGAGCCGTCACTTTGGGCGGGTGAGTCTAATGATACGGTAGGACTTGTTACAGAGAGGTATGTATGCGCTTAGTAGAAATTCTGTGTCGCAAAAGTTTAGTGAGAAAGCTCTCATTTGATTGCATGCATTCAGTAAATAATCTGTACACATTCGGTACAGAAACGAAAACAAAACTAGCGCGCGCCGATTCTGTAAGGAATGCACGTAAATCCACTATTTCGACACGAACAAAGAAATTTGGTGACGCATTTCTTTGTCGTACTATTCGTAAGTGGAATTCTTTGCCCTCGCACGTGTTCCCTCCTTCCTATAATCTAGCAGTGTAGCAGTTTATAACTGCTGTACCAGCTATCTTCGCGTTTGGACTTTATCACCGCTTAACATCAGCTGGTGTAGTGTCATTTGCCTACATGGCTATAAAAAAAAATCAGTCGAATCACCGTCTAATCACGTCACGTCTAACCGGAAAAATGCAATGACCGCTTTGCGACCGACAACTTCGTTTTACTAGAAACAAAATCTTTACCTTATCCAACTTGGAGTAGCTTTAAATCAAACAATAAAAGACATTTTTTCTTGATAAAATACGAAAATGAGAAGTAGCACAGGAAATTTAATTTATGATTAACCTGCAGTTGTTTAATGTAAAATTGAAGTCTAACGAATTTGTTAAAAACAATACCCTTATCGTTCTTCCAACAGTTCGGTACAGTGGGTCGTCGTCTCCAGTGAGCGCTGCACCGGCGGCCGCCGCGGTACCTGCCGGCGGGGCCGTTGCGGCGCCCGGTGCGGTGGCCCCTGCAGCGGCCTCTACTGCTGCGCCAGCCGGTCGTTGTAAGTAATGGTTCAGTACAGTGGACCGTCTCCAGTGAGAGGTGTTACTGGCGGGGCTATAGCGTCACCCGGTGCGGGGGCCCCTGCAGCGGCCTCTACTGCTGCACCAGCCGGTCGTTGTAAGTAATGCTTCGGTACAGTGGACCGACTCCAGTGAGCGGTGTTACCGGCGGGTTCCCTGCAGCGGGCTCTACTATTGCGCCAGGCGGTCGTTGTAAGTAATGCTTCGGTACAGTGGACCGACTCCAGTAAGCGGTGTTACTGGTGGAGCTGTAGCGGCGCCCGGTGCGGTGGCCCCTGTAGCGGCCTTTACTGCTGCGCCAGCCAGTCGTTATAAGTAATGCTTCGGTACAGTGGATCGTCTCCAGTAAGCTGTGCTACTGGCGGGGTTGTAGCGGCGCCCGGTGCGGTGGTCCCTGCAGCGGCCTCTACTGCTGCGCCAGCCGGTCGTTGTAAGTAATGTTTCGGTACAGTGGACCGACTCCAGTAAGCGGTGTCACTGGCGGGGCTGTAGCGTCGCCCGATGCGGTTGCCCCTGCAGCGGCTTCTACTGCTGCACCAGCCGGTCGTTGTAAGTAATGCTTCGGTACAGTGGACCGATTCCAGTGAGCGGTGTTACCAGCGGGTTCCCTGCAGCGGCCTCTACTATTGCGCCAGGAGGTTGTTGTGAGTAATGCTTCGGTACAGTGGATCGTCTCCAGTAAGCTGTGCTACTGGCGGGGCTGTAGCGTCGCCCGTTGCGGTGGCCCCTGCAGCGGCCTCTACTGCTGCGCTAGCCGGTCGTTGTAAGTAATGGTTTGGTACAGTGGACCGACTCCAGTAAGCGGTGTTACTGGCGGAGCTGTAGCGGCGCCCGGTGCGGTGGCCCCTGCAGCGGCCTCTACTGCTGCACCAGCCGGTCGTTGTAAGTAATGCTTCGGTACAGTGGACCGAATCCAGTGAGCGGTGTTGCCGGCGGGTTTCCTGCAGCGGCCTCTAATATTGCGCCAGGCGGTTGTTGTAAGTAATGCTTCGGTACAGTGGATCGTCTTCAGTAAGCTGTGTTACTGGCGAGGCTGTAGCAGCGCCCGGAGCGATGGCCCCTGCCGCGGCCTCTACTGCTGCTCCAGCCGGTCGTTGTAAGTAATGCTTCAGTACAGTGGACCGACTCCAGTGAGCGGTGTTACCGGCGAGTTTCCTGCAGCGGCCTCTAATATTGCGCCAGGCGGTTGTTGTAAGTAATGCTTCGGTACAGTGGATCGACTTCAGTAAGCTGTGTTACTAAGCTGTGCTTGATCGTCTTCAGTAAGCTATCTGGCGGGGCTGTAGCGGCGCCCGGTACGGTGGATCTTCTCCAGTGAGCGATGTTACCAGCGTGGTCCCTGCTGCAGTCTCTACTGCTGCGCCAGCCAGTGATTGTAAGTAATACTTCGTTACAGTGGGCGTGTTACCGGCGTGGTCCCTGCAGCGCTTTTTACTGCTGCGCCAGCTAGTCTGATCATATTGTTTTACTTCAGTTTAATATTTGAGGTTACCATTTGATTCTCATTACAATATACAATCTTTTATTGTACTTTGAAGCTGTTTCAAATATGAGTTAGACAATATCAATGTATGTTTGAGTGATATTTGGTATTATTTGTATTTTGTCGTTGTTCATGCATTTTAGAAGACTTTTAAAAAAATGGTTGCCTGTAAAGTCGGTTTTACGGGCGAAGATTTTACGTGACAACGTCTTTTTCTCGGTAGAATATTTATTGATATGAATATAATTAAATTGCACAATAGGAACAAGGAATTGAATGAAAATAAGAATTGCACAAATTTTAACTATAGAAATATATTTTGTTTACTAAAACATTGTACATGTAAACTTAAACTTAACACGAGAGACTCATCGTAACGTTACCGAGCGTTACGACGTTGCACGTCAAAAAGTTAATGTTTAATTAATAAACCTGTACTTTTACTGTTTCTTTAAAGATTTCAAAATATTTTGTGATTTATATAAATTGGCTAAATTGAGTCAAACAATTAACTCTTAAATTTTACCAAAAAATTAAATAAATAAATAAACAATTGTTATTTATTTTTCAGAATGCGGAATTCTCTACAACACTGAAGAACAAAGTTATAAATACACGTATTCATATAACATGAAAAAACATTTTATAGTAATAATTGGCCAAAAAGAGGTTCTTAAAAGTGCCTGCCGTTTGACAATTTTTTTGACAAAATAGTCACGAAACAAATAACAAGTCATAAGCGGATTTCTGTAAAGTAAACATTTCTTGATTGAATAAAAATTTAAAACGATTATTTAGCTCATATTATGTGTTAAGTTTGTATAGCTGTGTTATGTCTGTATAAAATGGTTTCAAGAAATTATTGTCTACTTTACTTTTAATTAATTTTAGGTTAACTTCGTTTGTCTGGTGACATTTTGTCAAAAATATTTTTGTCAAACATAAGAATCCGGTTTTAAGTTAACTGTAAAAACAAATACTCCATTCAGACGTATACTCCAAAACTAATAAAAAACGAAAATTTGTAGTTAGCGCTCTGTCTTAATAAACTAATTGGTGATAAATATAGGAATTATATAGTAGTTATAATTATATTTATACACTTATTTCATAAAATAGTTATACTTAATATACGTAATTTGATTACTATGTGAATCTATGATTGTATTTACAGAAATATGTCTTGAACTATAATATATTGCATGTCATTTTAAAATATATGATTTACTCGGATATAGGGTGGAGTAAATTCGGAAAATATTACAGGTGACCGCTTAATCACCATTAAGATTCCTTAACTATCAACGTGATGATGTTTTTTAAAAAACCTTTCTCTGTTTGTAGCAAGATTTAAGGCTGGCCTCTCCTACCCAAAATCATGTGTTTTTTGGCACAGAGTTATTACTAAGAGTCGCTTTTCCGTTTAAAGGCCGGCATCGCATTTGTGATACTTCTGATGATTCAGATGTCTATGTGCGACGGTGATCACTTAACATCAGGTGAGCTAATGCTCGTATGCTTAAGTTCTATATAAAAATAAATGCATCTGATGTGGCACTAAATCTTGTGATATTATATTTTTTCCCCAAATTCCTGAATGAACGATACCTCAACCTAAGGTATGAGATATATATATCGTAGGATTATTTGAGGAAACTAATTTTCGAGAAAATCTTAGCATTTTCGCGAAAACGCTGGTAATTAGATACTGGCGATGACATTTCTAAAGCTTACTGAAAAAAGATAGGATTTTATCGAAAACGCGAGTAGCCTCAGTTCTGTCATTGCTATTGTCTAATTATGCCCGTCTCGATCGTTTATCATCTTACGACTTATTCAAGCTGAGTTATCATAAGTGTATCGCTTGTGCATTTTTAGCTAAGGTAACAAGTTGGCGGGAATTGAGTATGTATATTTAGAAAAAAAAAATACAAGGAATCCAAACGTTTAAATTAATGGAAACTTAAGTTTAACTATTAGATCTATTTAAGTTGAAAGTTTCTTGCGTGCCTTCTATAGACCCTATTGTAGATAGATATTGTCTGATTAAAAAGAAATATACGAGAACAATACACTAAATAAAATATATGTAGTACTCTATTAGGTCCTAAATTTATAAAATTTTCTCAATAAAGAGACTCCTCCTACGACTTTGGTTAGTAAAGGCGTACACGTTCTTACATATAAAATGTTCAAAGAGGCTACTACTCTGTTTATATTTTTTTAGAATCGAAAAATCTAACCATCTTTTCGGACTCCAACTAATAAAATAACCGAAACGTCTACTCTAGCTCAAGGAATTCCGAATCTGAATTCCTGATCAGGAAACCGCCCAGTATAAGGGCGATTGTTGACGAGAATAATTCTACCCTGGTCTAAGCGCGGTTTTAACACGTTCCGTGCGTTACTATCTAGATTTGACTTTCGGTGGTGGCGTTAATTCGTTTTCTCATTTTTGCTTACGGAGCGGCGATACTTTTTCTATTAAATCTTAACAATAGGAAAGAGACAAATATATATTTCTAATAGTCACTTTAAAATCAACTTGTTTTGGGTTACTAAATTATTCATATCATATTTGTCTTGTACGCATCAATAAATAAATATTTGCGTTGTGTGCGGTACCAGTCGCATGCGACATGTACCTCCTTGTTTTGTATAGCACCGCGGGCGTAGGTCACACAGCCTCAATGGGCAATAGTGCTTACAAAAAACGGTCACGTCGATATAATCAACCGTGTATATTATAAATACGGTGCAGATGATACAAAAAATATTTTAATAAGAAGATGCATACTTTTGGAAAAGGTGAATAAAGTAAGAATTGTATCAATTGTTATAGAAGATTGCACATAAAAATGACAAGCAGAGAAGCGGATAAAAAAGTTACAAAGTAGTAATTACTAAATATAATGTTTTTTTTAAATAATTATGTCTCATTCGAATAGTTCGGAAGAACCTAATAATTTGCAATGTCGATAGTTTTTATGTTGCTAATTATGCTAGTTCTGTACCGGATAAAAAATACTGATATTTATGATGTGTTATATTTTCTCAAATATTTATAATATCTTGAGGCTAACGTACAGCCTTATTTATCTACATATATTATGTTGATTTGAAGTTTACATATTATATTAACCCCTGATAATATCAACTTTGTCTTACTTAGCTTGTTTGTGAAAACAGAAAAAAAGGAAGAGATGTGTACAAGTCTTTTATGTCCGAGAATGCTCTACATTTTTGACAATGTACAAGATTAAATTTTCCTTGTAACGCACTGAGGGTAAAATAATAAGCCGCATTTAACGCGTTAAACCGTGTCTACGTTCAGTCGTTCGTGCGGTATGGGACACTATGGAGGTTTGATAATGTGGGCTTTCGAAGCGAGCGTCAGTGACGCCGCGACAGAGCGTCAGATAGGATTTCTATGCAAATGACATTTTCAGTGCAGTGAGCCAACGACACTGTACCGCGGCGTTAACGACGGTTTGGCTTCGGTACAAACGTACGGACCTTGTTCGTGAACAAGCCTAGCCGACACAGTCCCTGTAGCATGAATACTACAATTTATATTAATATCACGTTAACTATCACGTCTTACTGTCAAACTCCTAAGTAATTTGGGAATTGAGCGTGATGAAAACGATATATATATATATATATATATATATATATATATATATATCATATAGCGGTGATCATGCTAGGGGGAGAGGCCCTTGTAGAAACCGTGCTTAGACCCGGTGACGATAAGTTTTTGATCGTCAACTAAGGATATAAATGTGTAATAAAAAGAGTGAAAATTAAGATTAAGTTTAACTTTTTTTACATTCAATTAAACATCATCATATAATAATTTATCTATGACATATTATTTGTATTAATACATTATCTTTCAAATTTGATAAATTAAATTACCTAAGCTCCATTTATATATAAAGATGCGATAAGCATATATTTAACTATGTGTTCTCACGACTCAGTAGAATAAATATTTATAAACTCGACATTTTTAATAAGTCAGCTTTAAGTATCAACAAGCAAACATTTTGATTAGTTTGAATAATATAAGAACTTTATCTTTTTTATTGACTTATTATGTATCTTTGGCCAACATCAGAAACTTAATTTTGTTAAAAATATGACTCAATTTTTTACAACTGAAGTGAGTTGTATTTAGCACAAACTGTCGAGAGCCTAAAACGGAATTTTAACTTAAGCATGTCTGTCACGTAAAATATCGCAAAATTTCATTGTAAATTAATTATAATTTATTTTTAAGCATGTGACTGCTCGATGTTTAAATGTAAAGAAAAAATTACTATAAAAAATCTGGTAGTATTTTATTCAGATAAAAATTAATTATTTATTTATCGTCAATGTTATAATTTTAACTTTACAACGACTCTGTCATTTCAGGTGCTTAAATAATTGTCTTACAAAATTGTAGTTTTATCTATTAATGTATAACATAAATTGGACAAATTGTAAATAAGTTATTTTTCATAATGCATCAAAATGTTAACAACAATTTTAAGACTACTTTGCGACTGACCGGACACAACGAAAACTAATACGTATTCGTTGCATCAATATTTGAAAAACACTTCAATAAAAAACCTGTAGTAATTTAATAATATAAAATGAAAACATGTTGTTAGCTTTATCTATTTATCTATACAAAGTAGATAGATTCCACAATCTTTATCGTAATAAATTTGAATTCTATTGAATCGTAATTCAAAGAACTAAATTATTCTTGCATAATGAATTTATAATAATTTAGTGTGCCTACTTTTTAAGTTGTTAATAAATTATCGTATATTTATTGAATGACAATAAAAATAAAATTATGTGCCACTGAATTGGTCGATATTTATTATAGTATGGTTTAGTTTACTAAGTTACTCTAAGGTGTCCTATAAAAATAAATTTATAGTTTACATCAAAGTGTGTCTTGGAAAAATAAAAATTGTTCCCTCTGTCAGTATTGTGAGTTTTATTTTTTGAAATCGCGTTCAAACCAACAAACTCTTTTGCTTTGTAAAATTAATCGGTGTATATTGTATTGAAGAGGGGATGAAAATTTCTACTCCATTATAAATGAACAGTGGTGGATCCTGACTGACAGAGCTCCCCGTTTTCGTTTAAAGTTATTTGAAATACAAAATTAAGGTAAATTGACTAGGCACATAGCCAAATACTGTCAACAGACGCCGGTTCTATATTTCACCAAATGAGAATAATGTTTGCTATTATTACAAACTGGAGATTGAAACATTAGGACACCTCTAATTTTGTGGTGTGGTGTTGTGTTTCTGTCGGTGAGTAAGGTTCCAGTGCTCCACGGTGCTCCAAAACTCTTTAGTTTTTACCTCTTTAGTTATCTGAGGTCAAACAGGTTATTTGAGGTTTTTGTTATTAACAATGTTAAAAGAGATTTTGTAACAAGTCACAGTAGATCTCATGGGCGGCTTTCTCTACAAATAAAGTCTCATAATAAACTATATATATATATATATGTATATATATATAAATATGTATGTTATAACTAATTTGAAACATACATCTAGTTTGTTATGATATAACCATGACGGGAAGGTAAACTTTTGTAACAGTATCTTAGCAAAACCTTCATCAGAATTTATACATTCTAGAAAAAATAGCAGTGAATCGAAGATAAATTATAATTGTTGTTGTTGCGGGTGGTGCTATTTTTTCTAGATATATATATATATATATATATATATATATATATATATATATATATAGTTTATTATGAGTTATATATATATATATATATATAT